TGCTTCACAGAGACCCTCCATGGTCCTCTCCATGTGTCCTTTCTTAAAGAAGGCACTAACACATCCCAGCAGAGTCAACAAGCTGTGCTGCCTATCTCTGCTCTCAGGAATAGACTCAGGAGCCTTTTCTGACCATCTGAAGAGATGAGTAACAGAAAAGCTCTGCCTCCACACATGAGACTGCAGTTCCAGCTGTCCCTGGGAACAACCTATGAAAACCTTACAAAGAGACATTCCTCCTTTTCAAAGTCTCTTAAAATTAACATTTGTCTTTATTTCTTATTCATTTAATTGTATTCTTACACAAGACTCTTACACACAGGTTTTGAGAGGCTGGATACATTCTTTATCACATTTTACTAATCAATAATTAGAGTCTGTTTAGAAGGATTCAGTTTTGAAGTTCTTCCTCCAACCCTTGCAGTTTTCCTGGAGCTCTTGCTAATGGAGGGAAGCATAAAATCAAGAAATGCCCTGTAGGTGCTTTCACCTTGGTGCCTTCTCTGCATTATAAGGAAATATCATTGGGGAAATTTTCCTTAAATACTTTTTTTTTGCAGAAATTTCTCAGCAGCTACAGATGAATGGATAGTTTGTGAACAGTGAGTGCCTTAATATTGTGTTGCAACAAAATCCTGGCATACTGGTGAAGTTACTGTCTACTTATTATTCTGACTTCACCAGACTTCTTAGAGGAAAATAATTTGAGCATGCTTCCTGCTACAGATACAGCCTGTGCACTTTCCTTTATCAAAAGTCATACTGTGACTTAGTTTGAGCTGTTAAAAAAGGAAGATGTACATAAACCATGTTAACTGCTTTCTTCAGACACTACAAATTGTACCTTGTGCTGTTTCCTCATAAACAGTTGTCAAGTTCCCTTGTTGATCAACAGTGATCAACCTTTACCATCTTCACGTCTGACTCAAAATTCATCAGGAATAAACACCAGGCCTGTTTTTCCTCTGTTCATGAGCTTGGGGATCTCATTATTTTCAGAATATTCGTTAAACTCTCTACTTACTCTAAAAATCATAGGTTTTGGTTTTGGAGGGTTTTTTTTTCGCTGCTGAGTGACTAGTGGGCAACTGCTTCAGGCATTTGTCCATTCCACAATACAAGATCTCATAACTCCATGTACTCGGACACTGTGTCTTCAAGAGATAGTCGCCATAAATGGACACCACCTTACAGTATTTGACATTGTCAAAGCACCAGTTAATGGTCACCGACAGCAATTAACTAATTCATCTTCAGGGCAACACCGATATAATTAACACATGAGTAAAATGAGATTTAGGAGTTAAGTCAGTTGCCTGGGCAGAGGCCTTCATGGTCTAGTGGATTAGACATCTGCTTCTCCAACCAAAGAAGTTGAGTCTAATCCTTTTTCTGACATTGATTTGCTGCATGACCTTACAGGAAGTCAATTAACTTCTCTGTCTCAGCTGCCCTAGAGATAATGATGCTTACCTATCTGGTGACACATGGGCATTTTGAATCTGTACTAAATGATATTCTTAATGTATTCTTAGGGCCCATCAGTGAAAGAGGTGAAACATTAAAGCTGTGAAGCTTTAATGTCCTTGCTATTTTATCTAATTCCTCCCCCACACACCAGAAATAGCTTAGGGGTAAGGACAAATTTGTTAGGCTAAGGTGCTCCTCGTACAACTGTGTCTGGCATCAAGAATTTTCATCAGATCCTGTTTGACCAGTAAAGTTATGTAGAATACAGGTCAGCACTAGAATTGCAACGTAAAGTTTAAAATAAACTTGGCCATGGAAGAAAACAGCATCCTTCCCATGCTACCATGAGGTAATGAACAGATTGTACTCCTGATTCAAAGGAAGCAGAGCCTGCTGCAGATACCCTAGAGCCTGTGCTCATGCACCATCCCCAGTTCCCTCTAAATGAGGCTACTGCAAGATAATTTCTACAGGTGTCCTGACCCATAGCAGGGATACAAGCCCAAAGGAAAAGTACTTGCATACATGCATCTCCTGGAGCAGACCCACCTGATCTTGACATCTCTGAGCAGCGAGGCGTGGTACTTAAAAGAAGGACAACTAAAATCTGCTCTGTTCAGTTCTTGAGAAGCCATCCTTGAACTTCTTTCCTTTTCATGATGTGCCACAGAGCATTAAAAAATACTACTATAGTTGGCATCTGAACTGCCCAGCAGGTATCTAGGCTGGTGGTGTGCACAGGTAACTTTGTATCCCTTTTTGTGTATTTGACCTTCCTTTTAATTTTTTCTACAAAATATTCTGTTGCTACATATAATGTTTCCTAGGCCCATAAAACCTCCCACAATTCTAATATAGCAAGAAACCAGTCAAATGTGACATAAGAATTCAACATTTACCTTTATTTCTGTGAGCAAGATTAGTATTCCTTCTTTTTAATAATGAAGGAAACATCAAGCACATTTTTGCCTTTTGCTTGCTGAATTACAGCAAGCATGGTGAATGCTCATTCAACCAGAAAATTTATAACCTGCTCCTGCTTCTGCTGTGACACTGATCACTTCTCAGCATCCTTTCTGCTGACAATCCACCTGTGTGCTGGCTGTTTCATTTCACTGCCCTGCTCTCTCTACCCTCAGACTGGTTAGCACCTGTCTCTTCTCCACCCTCTCATCTCCATTGATAATGTGTTTAACATTTACTTTGATGCTATTCCTTGATGCTTCTCAAAATCCTTCTTGGAAAGAAGACCATTAAAAAGAAACCCTTTGGAGAAAGAATAAAGTGTATGTGCTTGTGTATCACACTGCTGTAGGCTTTGTCTTGCTGCAAACCTGGAGATGACTCAGTGCAAACCCATACTGCTGTAATTAGGGAATAAATATTGTATTCTCCTAAAATACATCTGAGCTAGTTCAATAAACCCTGATTTACTGGCTGCTACTTGTGCAAACATCTGCATATTAAATCCCAGTAAATTACTAGTGAGTGGTCAGATCAGTAATACAGAAATTCCCAAGGCTGAAAGACTGTCTATAGCTTGTTCCTATGTATTTACTTACTGCAGAGGCCACTGGTGTGACTAGCACAGACCAAATGGCTCCATGTCTACACACTGTGGAAGAACTTAAAGGTGACTTGTAATAGCTTATGAAATGTACTCTAGGATTGTATTCTGAGCATGGCAAGGAGCATAAACTAAAACTGTATTCACCTCTCAATGCCTAAAATACAACTTTTCAGTGCTAGTTTTGGCATGGATTAAAATTACCTGTGTGCTAATAAGTGATTAATATGTAACACATTTGGCACAAGCAGAACATATAATTACATTAAGACATTACTGGGTACTCCTTCTAAGCATTTGTAGCTTATCTTGTAATGTTATCTCATACACTTGCATGTTTGGTTGGTGTCCCCTTTTTTTTTGTGTCTTTCCTATATGGACAATGAGAACCTGTACCTTTCTGCACCTAACCTAATAATACATGGAAGCATCCATTTAACTTTAAGGTTGAGCTTCAGATCTCTGCTGCATCAGGCCCTTTGTTTAAATATGTATCTTTTAGTTTCATATTGCATATTTTGCAAGATTTCATAGAATTATGCAACATCCCAGTTCTATGGTCTACACTACAGACCAATAGGTGTGACTTCAACTTTATCTATTGATACAGTAAAGGACACGTAACACCAGGAAGGACAACTTATTTTTCGTCTTATTGATTCTTTCCTTTAGCTTTTGTTTAACCTTATATACAAACAATTACAGTTTCCTGTGAGATGTTTTCCCATTTTTTAAGTTTGGAATGAAGTGGATGGTTTGCATATTTTTTTTTGAGTATAAAGGTGTATAGACCTTCAGATTTATATTGGCTTTGCTGTAAATTAATGCTGCTGAAGTCAGTGAACACACTTGTACCTACAGTGACCTTGTAAAATACATTCAGATGAAACAGGGTCTACCTGGATTGCAAGAGGGAAAGGAAATCAGTTTATCTCAAGTTTGGTAATTTGGTAATGGTTACTCTAAACAGTGTTTTTACTTCTTAGTATGATCACTAGAAGACAATGTATAGTCAGTATTAAATCAGGGCAGATTCAGACGATAAAAGCAAAGCTTAATCTTGCTAGGATTAGTGACTCTAAATTGATACGACTGAAAAACATTGCAAAATGCTGAAGTTAGGTGGCTTCAGGGCTTAGCAAAATGCCTTGCCTGGTAATTATCAAAAGTCTTCAGACACACTGATTGCACCTGGTACCTCTGATTGGATTACCAAAATAAATAATAATAATAATAAAAGAAGTTGACTGTAGTAGCCTCATTTGTACTTTAATTAAAAGCTTCATTTTTAAATATAACTGATTCCCTGAGGTTATTTTTAAAGTAAGCTTCTGGCAAGGCAGCAGTGTGGTGGATTAGAGGCTTGGAACTGAGGAAAAATCATCATTCAGCATAAAATTTAGAATAATGTGTGCATATATACAAATACATGTGTATACAACATCATGTAACAGGATACGGGACTGGATTTATTAAAGCCAAATGGAAAGATATTTCCTCTTTTAATATTCTAGATCTCTTTTAATATATGCAATGCAGATATTGCACTGAAGCCTGATTCATATAAATACCACAGTGATTGCACATCAATCTGATCAGTCCAGTGAAAGGTCTGTTTTACTATAAATGTAAAACCAAGTTATCAACTTAGCTGTCTGCACCTACAACTCTATCTAACAGTGGCTGTTACACTTGATGTGGATACATAAGACATATCACCCATCAGCTCACTGTTTATCATGGAGCATGCAAGCCTGAGTTGAAAGCAGCAGGCACAGATAAAGTATAGTCATGGAAAAGGAGCAACAGGATAGCAGCAAGGGTGTGGATTGGGGGGGCTAATGAGCAGTGTTAAAAGGGGAGTGCTGGGGGAGAGGGTGAAAGATCTGTACGAGACACAGCTGAATATGAAAAGCCAGAAAACAAGGCATTTTTCTATTTCTTATTTCAGAAGAGAACTTACAGCTTCCAAATTTTAATGGGCAAGCATGTGCATCCATGGGGAAATCTTCAAGCTGCATGGGACATTCAGCAGAGATGGTCAATCTGTCGGGGAGTAAAAAGAAAACACACAATTTTTTTTCCCTGAACCTTCTCTTTAGGCCCCTCACCACAATACATGAGTGCTGACACAGGCAAGCTTTTCCTGAAGGCTCCTTGCTCCTGCTGAAAACAAAGCAACTCCCAGTTAAACTGAATGTGAGATAAGCCAGGTGGACCACTGTGTGTGCATGCCATAGGCCTTATCTAGTAACCCTGAGACACGTGAAATGATTTTATTTATGTAAGCTGTCCCAATAAGATCATTCTTTCTTATTAGTACGTGAAGAAACTCCTGTGATGGAGCTTCTGCCACACACCTTATACTTATCTCCTTTCTGTACATACTGCAACTGGACTAGGAATTTGACTCCTGGGTATAGCACTGTTACAGACATAAAACAGCATTTATTTAAATACGTAAAACAAATAATTACAAATAAAAGTACATAACTATTTATAACTATATATAAGGTGATATATCATCAAGGACATATATACATCACTTTATATAGCACTATAGTTAGTTTCTGTGGAAATCACGTGGTATTGGGGTAGTCCGTTTCAGTTCAACACACTGTGAATTACCTGGGCATCTTGTCAGGAAAAAACAACAGGGTGACCTTCCCTAGGCAATGTATTGCCTAGGGAAGCAATTCTATCCTAGACTACCTTGCCACTGTGTGGAAATACTTGATCTAGAGTGGACATAGCGGTAGGGAAGGAAAAACTCTTAGGAAAATATAGCCATGTCTTATAGATGTTCTGTATGATTGACAGATCAAGCTGAACACTAAAAAAGTCTGAGGTAAATTTCTGAGCAGTGTAACATCAGTTATACTGATATCAAATGCATCGAATACATCAAATATATCAAGAGAGCCAAAGCTTATTTCTAGCACAAGGAAAAACTGTTTTGTTTATGCCATTTTGATATTTGCAAAATACACTGTTTGCTCAGGAGAGTGAGCATGCAAATCTCATTTTACATTATAAGTAACCTTATGGTTTTCTCATTTTATGCTGCTATTCCACCTCAGAGGCAACAGACCAGAGACACCAGAAGCCTTACAGACTGCCTGGTGCTGGGACTCTACTGGAGGGCAGGCTGGTTCCTAAGAAAACTGTTGCCTGGGGAGCAAAAATCTGCAAAGAAATCCACAACACCCTACCACCAGAACACAAAAGTACACTTTCCTATCACAACAGCAACACAGAGCCATACTCCCTAGCTATATATACTCACTGCTTCCTACTAGCACCCCAAAGTGCTACAAGAACTTCTATCCAAGGGGACTGTAAAGGGTAACAATCTGTCCGTGTACAGATGGCACAGCATTCAGCCAGTCCAATTCAATAGAACACAATGATGCCTTGCCGGGGCACTCCAGCTACACAGAAAATAAACTGGGGGAAACAGCTCCACTCTCTGCCAACACAGAGAAATTCTGGAGCTTTACCAAAGGCTGGAAATGGCAAAAAAATGTAACAGTATCATTGGCTAGAGATCATATTCTGAGGATAAGGAAACAGGAAGGGAAAAAGGCAAACTGCACACAGTAATAGAAAATGTAAAGATAATATGCCATAAAAAGCATATGAAAAAAAAATCCAGTTCAGAACACAGATAGTGTACCATTTTGTAAGAACAGACAGGAGGTTACAATATAGAAAAAAAGTTCCTGAGGCCTGAGATACCGGCCCTTAGGCAAAACTGTCCTTGGGCTTTATTTTTGTAAAAGAAATGTTGAGATCACTCAAATATGGAGTTGTCTGCAGTGGAGAATGCCCTTGGGCACCAAAGCCAGCAAAGCCAAAGTCACCAAGAGTGCTGTGTGGATGAATTTTACAAGCTGGTTCTAGTAGCATCCTGTCCAGACCTTGCATCTTTTTCACAAAAATCCCTCTAATGGTACTTGAAAGCAAGGTTACCATCCCTCCAATGCATTGCTATATTTTCCATGCTTAACACTGCAAATTTAATTTTCTTGATAAATTCAGAAACCTTTCTCCAAGAGCCCATAAGAAAGCTGGCATGTTTTACTGCACTGCATCTCCTGTCTCTTTTTCTACCAACAATTTAAGCATGTCATTTCAAAGGCTGCAGCACTTTATTATACATGCTTGTAATCTGCAAACATCGAAGGAGGGGATCCCTATATCCATCTTACAAAGACAACAGGTGTAGAATCAGGAAGTGAAGGAAGATTCAGTGCAGAATTATGCATAAGACCTTCTGTTTCCTCTGACTGTCCTATGAATTGTATCTTGCTGCCTGCATCTCTGGAAATAACTCTTGTGCATAATGAGGAAGACTGTAGACATTCATCAACTGTAAATGTGGAAGAGAAGTAAAGATGATTTGTACAGAGAGTGTGACCTAGTGGAATTTAATTAAGTCCCTCCAGAAATTATTCTTGCCTGTCTTAAATGAAAGGGTAGCAGATAAGGCTGGAGGGCATCTGGCTGCCACTACCTGACTCAGAAACCCCAAAAATCCTTCTGGTGCCAGGGCTACTCTTCTGTCCCCTCTGAATTTCTCATCCAGCAAAAGGCAGCACACCTCTTAAAAGGATGATGCCAGCTGCAATCTTCTAGGTCTATCTTGGAGGTAGAGAGAACCAAGTTTAGCAGCTGTGAATGTGCTTGGGTACAGCCTTTCCTTTTATTAACACAAATTCTTTGGATGAAAAAGTTCTTTTTGCTCTCTATCAGTGATATCTGCATGCTTCTTTCCTTTTCCAGTGCCTCCGTCCTAGGACCACGCTCCTAGTCTGGCCATCTTGAACAAGCGAACTGGCTATGCTATTTGTTACATGCTATTAAAAACCTTGTAGTTGAGCCTCTTAGGTGATTTTAAAGTGCTCGCTGAACACTCTCCTTAGATACCTCCTACAAAAGTGTGCATTACCAGAGGCTTTTGAAGTGTCTTGTAATGGCCAATGTGACAAAAAATTTGACAGGAGACTTCTAAGAAAACTCGACTATGGGATCTCATACAGAGCACAAATGTCATCACCCTGAATTTCTGCAGGGTGTTCTGTGCCAAGCAGGAGCTGCTTTTCATTACTTGTGAGGACCTAAAAACAAAGTCACTAAACTGACTCCTGGTTCAAAGAGACTGGATTTTCTATTGCATACAGAAATAAAAGCAGCACAGCAGCCATCTCTTACACTCTGGGAGCAGGAAGCATGGGTCACTGCATACAGATTTGCTCCTTGGTGCAGAGTACAAACTATATATTCAGATCATAGCTTCAGGACTCTCAAAAAAATTGACATCTGCGCCTACTCCTTCAAATATCACCTGGGGTGATATTTGCACACTTTGGCTTTTATCATTGTGATGAAGCTTAGGTACCCTTTGCATACTCTAGTTTACACAGCTGATTATAATAACATTACTCTCAGTTTGCATTTATTTAAAGAGAAAGGAGGCCTTGGCATCCTTTGAAACAGCCTTTGCCTAATCCTTTTAAATAGGGTGACTCCAGAATGATCTTGCTGTGCTCAAGGAAGCACAGTTATCTGAGCTAGAGACAGTCCCCATACCAAGATTTTTCTGTCACAGCACAAGCATTTCTCAAAGGTAGCTCTTCTCAACAGAAGCATTTAAAAGCTTCCCTCCTCCACCATCATTCTGCCTTAATAAAATCCCTGTAAGATTAGTTTCACTCAAACAGAGTTTATGACAAGATTATAGGCGGCTGTTAAAGGTCCTTTGCAATGGGAGAATGAAACTCTGATTTTATTGAAGATAATGGTAAAATTCTCCCTGACTTAATGGGGCCCCAATTCACCCAAAAAAATGTAACAAACCCTGATTATAGTTGCTGATTTATTACTGACAAAATTTCACTTTCATAATGCTCCAAATACTCACACTACCATCCAAATGTTAATCGACCAACAAAATGCTATTGCATACCTTAACTATCTGAAAAGAAAAATGTTAGGTTAATAAATTATTTAATCTGGCATCTATAATTGTATATGAAAGCTTTATTAAAGCTTCATTATGTATAGCCTTTACTTTAAGAACATAAAGTGATTACTGAAGTTCTGTTTCAAGGCACATAAGCGAATATCCGTCTCAGAAAAGCACAACAATTCAAGCAGCAAGACTTCGTCACTCCAGAAAAGTCACCTTCAACCATTTCCACTGGGGAATTAAGCATGACAGTGCTTTCAAGAGACTGTTCCTTTTTAGCAAGAAGGAAAGGCAGGAGGTGTTAAAGTCAAGGATGTGGCAAGGAAATAAATGCAGATATTAGGGAGCCAGACATTTGCAGTGAGTGTGTTTAAAGGAGAGGTGGGTGTCCCTCAATAGAAGTCCCTGAGACAAAAAGCATCCTGTCCTGCAAGACCCTGTTTTAGGGCACTGCAAGGACCCCTCAGCTGTATCTGTGACTCCCTCAATGCAAGGGAAAAGAGTGGGGGGACTGAGCAAAGCTATCACCTCTCTCCTACCCTGGAAGTGCAGAAAAACACTTTCTGGAGTATTATCTGCCGCTACCAGGCAGGAGGTGAGGGCAGTCATGTGCCTAGGGAGCCCACAGACAGAGCAGAAACCTGCTTTTTCTTATCAGCTACTAGCTTTAGTATGCAAACAAATTAAAACAGAGAGCTTTAGGATAGGGGAGCAGAAAGGTAGAGTCACCAGTGCCTTCTGGGAGAAGTTAATTCAAGATAAGTGTTGAATAACAAGAGTTACTGAGGAAGGGGACACAAGGAAACTTTTGTTGGTGCTAAGGTACTGTGGCCAGAGAGATACAAAGCTTTTCTGACTGTTTGCCTTAATCCCCAAATCAGCCCCATCTACTTAGTTGTTTATTTCTGTGCACTGCTCTTACCCCTGATTAAAGGGAGCATTTTCATGCTGTTTTGCCCCCACCTGTGCTGGCAGCCAGTACCTGCTATGGGGCTCAGGTGAGCCCAAGTGCTGTTCCCAGCAAGAGGCCAGCCATCACCATTTTCCTTAAATAAAAGGCAAAATGTTTGTTTGA